CCTGACACACGTGTGGTTGTGCGATGTTGTGATTGCAAACAGCACAGAGGCTCTCACACCTGGACGGTCTCCCTGCTGCTCACCCAGACTGCAGGGCTCAGCCTGTGCTCCTGGGCTGCAAGTCTGCACAGCTCGTTAGTGCACAAAATAACTTGTACAATAAGTCAACACAGGGGGAAATGACAACAGCAAGATACTCAGTAAACACATGTATGAGGCTGCAGCAGCTGTAAAAAGCACACTGTTTACTGCAAAACTTTTTTTAAATGTTCAACCGAGGATCTGTTTGTTGATGAGAGACACAGAGAGAGAGAAACGTAGATTGGTTGCCTTTCCTTCCTTTGCTGCCAACTCCTGTTTGCATGTGATTGGGCTTGAATGTGCACAGGTGAATGAACCACTTTAGGAAGAATTTCTCACTAATAAAGTTAACATTTAAAATTTTTACAGTGCATATACATTCATCATGTAAATTGTATATTATTTATCTACACATAATTAATTCAAAAGCTTTGCTGACATGTATAAAAGGGAAGGCAGAGGAAGAGAAAAATGAAGGGCTTAGCCCAGGGTTGACAGTGCTGGGCTCCATGTCTGGACTCTGGGCAATGAACTTGCACACCCTCCCCCACTGCTCACTCAGGGCGCTGCCCTCTGTGGAGGCCAAGCAGGGTCTTTCCCTTCTTCTGGGGTGTGGTCATTCATATCTTATCAACTCTTTGTTGCTTTTAAGAAGTTGGTTTTTGTATGACACATGGCATTTTTACTTAGTTTCAGGGGGAAGATTTGCCTGCACCATAAGCCCCCCTTGTCAGGAATGGGATTTCTGAGGCAAACAGCTGGTCCTGGAGGACAGGGCCACAATCTGATCTCACATCACGATCTGAGGATGGTCTGTCAGAGATTTATAAGTGCAGGGATTTGATGTAATTTGTTCTTTAAAACATGATTCATGCACATACAAGAGTTTTCAAAAGACACTCAAGAATATAAAAATTAAATAAGTCACATGTTCCCCTGTTCCCTCAGTCACTGCACTTGTCTGTCGGGAGCCGACCAGCAGCCCTCCCTTGACACAGTTGGGATGGGTCGGATGAGATGCATCTGCACAGCAGAGGCAACTGTGGCTGGACTTCCTGTCTATCTCTCCTTGCATGTTTCTCTTTGCACTTAGTAGGCAGTGGGATTTTTAGACACCTGCATTTCAGGTCCAATGATCCACAGAATTCCAATGAGGTTGTACAAAATGACTTCTTGGCCATAGAACAAAAGTCCCCCCTGATGGGGTAGCCCCTAGAATATCTAAAAGTTGATGGAGTAGCAGCCCCTCCTCTACCTTGGGTAGGAATATACATTAATGGAATTAGACAGGTAAAGAAGCAGGAGAAGCTGGTTAGCTACTACAAACTACGCACGTAGAAACAATTACCAAGGAGTTAGAGTCCATATTACATAAAGAAATATTTTAGACAGGATAGATAACTAAGTTAGACATCACAAAGGCCTTATAATAAATTTCCTATAACCTCTGCTCTAGTGTATCCTTTTGCCCCATGTCAAATTCTAAGAACTTTAATAAACAACAGGACATTCAAACTCTGTACACAGAGCTATTTCAAATGGTCTGATTAATGGCTCTCCTGGTCAAAACAACTTTTGTTTAACATAATTGAAACTATGGAAATTCTTGTACTTTTCCTGGTTACCTCTGTATTGGTTTTTTCTGCTTAACTGATCACAACATGCACCTGTTCCTTTAATATTATATAACAATCTCTATAAAAATAAAACCTAAATCAAACTCTATGAGTTCGGTCAGACCCTCAGAGGCTGGCTGTTCTCCAGCATCCAATCGGGTGTCTGACTCATTGATTGCCTGTGCTGTCCATCCTTCAGGGACCCTGAACCCTGCTGAGGCTGGACCCCGGCACTTGTCTACCCACAAATCATCGCAGTGAGTCACTTCTGACTTCTCCTCCCAGGAAAATATATCTGTGCACTAATGTTGGTGTTATGTCTGTGAAAAATAGCTCAGGCCACAGACTGGGAGAAAATGTTTACAAATCACTTGTTTTAAAATATACATAACAATCCTCAAACTCAACAATAAGACAACAATAACTCAATAAAAATGGATGAAAGTTGTAACAGACACTTTGCCAAAGAATTACACCAGCCCTGGGTGGGTGGCTTGATTGGTTGGAGTGCTGTCCCCACACACCAAAATGTTGTGGCTTCGCTGCCTGGTCAGGGCACATTCCTGGGTACAGCGTCCAACCCCCGATCCAGGTGCCTATGGAAAGCAACCAATCAATGTTTCTCTCTCTCCCTTTTTCTCTCTCTGAAAGCAATGGAAAAAAAGTCCATGAGGGAGGGAAAAAATGTCCTTCGGTGAGAATTGAAAAAAGAAAATAGGGAAGTAAAGTTTTATTCAAGGAAGGAGCACCAAACCCAGAGTCCCAGGTGAGTTGTTGCTCTAAGACCTGGCTCCCTGATGGCTTCCAGGAGACTGAGGGGCTTAGGGCCGAGGTCTCCACTGATTGGTCAGCACTCAGGTGATGGGCGGGCAATCATTGCATCTGGTCCTATGTCAGCAATGTGGCCGTTCTGTCTGGTTTTACAAGTTCACTCTGCCACTCTCCCCAGAGTCTAAATCTTCATGAACACGTACTTGAACACATCAGGCATTCAACCACTTCCATCTCTGCAGACGCCTCTCACAGCCCTTGGTGTAGCCACACATGGACTGGCTCCCACATACCTGGACCAGGGAGACACCCTGATGTCCTTCACCTCATTTCAGGCAGCCCTGGCCTCTCCTGTTCTGGCTCCCACATGTTCTTCCTTTTTTTGGCTTTACTTCTTCATGTTCCCACTTCACCTGATAGTATTTTCCAAAAGAGAACATGGAAACTTAACCACTAAAACTCTAAACACATGAGGAAACTTAAGTACACCTTAACCCTTATTGACATCTTGGCTTGATATAGAGCTTTGTGTTGGAAATATTCTTTTCTTCAGAAACTGGAAGGAATTGCTTCAATGTCTCCTAGTCTCCAGGCACACATTTGCTGACTCTGGAAGTTTTCAAAATATCTTCCACCCTGTTTCTGAAATTCTACTGTGATGGTCCCAACAGGTTTGCTCTGCAGATTACACTTGACCCTCTATGTAGATGTCATGGTGTCACCGCCTGAGACACCTTGAGCATTTGTCTGTCCACAGTTACTGTCATTCTAGTGGTCAGAGCGCTTAGATACATGCAATCCTTTTGCTTTAATAAAACCATAATACAAGGAACATTTTTCTATTTGTATATAGATGAGGACATGTGTGATGATCTCCTTAGGACAAATTCCCAAAAGAGGAATTTCTGTGTCAAAATGTAAGCACATTTACATTGCTGAGACCTTTTACAAAAGCATCCTTCAGGAGTTTTGTTTCGGTTTTCAATCCCTTCAACCTTCACAACAGAATGTGGTCCCCACCCTTGGGCTGAAACGCTCATCATGTTCCTTCATCTTTGTCAAACACATAGATGTTTGGACATTCCTGCTCTCTCAGAACATCAGCATCAGACAAGGACACCCCGAGACCACAGCAATGTGAGACACAACAACACCACACTGCGTGTTGTCTCAGCACAGACAGAAACGAGACCCGGGGCAGCTCACACGCTACCAAGCAGCTCCTGGGCCAGGAACAGAAGGAAAGGCAGCATCTTTCCTATCACCCCTCCCCCTCGCTCCCATCTGCCTCATCCAGTCGTTTTCTGTCTGGGACATAAATACACATGAAGCTGCTGCATAACAAACAAAACGAGGTTTCTGTGGGTCTGGTGGCTTCGGGCACAGGCTGCACTCAGTTCCAAACAGGAAACACCTGTCCCCCCACCTCCCTTCCCAGACTGAGGACACTCTCTGAAATCTCATTTCCAGGGGGTGAGCTTTCTTCTAGAAGAATCCAGGGGCAATGCTTTTAGCAGAGTGTGGGGAGGCAGGGATCTCATCTCTGGGAGAGGGATTCTAGGAAATCAGAAAGACACAAAAGCTGGGGCCAGTGGGGAGACTTGCCCCGGTTTAGCCATTCTCAAAGTGAGTTCTCTGGAACACTTGAAGTTTCTAAGACCCTTTCATGGGATCTATGAGGTCAAAACTATTTTCATAGATTAAGGACATCCTTTGCCTTTTCACTGTACCCACATTTGCACTGAGGTAAACTTAGCAAGAAACCATGGTGGCTGGGACACCCAACTGCAGTAGCAGGCATTCTTCACCATGACCCCCTCACAGACTAGAAAAAACAGCGTCCCTTTAGAATGACATGGTTGAAGGACTGAAAAATATTACCTTGAATCAATCATCTTCCTTAAATCGGCATCTTTAAAAATCTTATTTTCCAGGCAAGATGGCTATGAAGGTAAATGCAGTACTTTCATGACCCTAGAGCTACATCAAAATCACAACTACACTACAAACAACCATCATTCAGAACCATGATCTTTGTCCAGGTGACAAGCCTGAGTTAGAGCAATGAGTTCAGCGTGCTGGGCAGATTTCATTTCCAGTCGATGAGATCTCTCGATTCTGTCCACCAAGGAAGTTACTGCATACCCACCTCGCTAATGTCCCTGGTCATCTCTCAGATAAGATCCCTCTGTAACCAAATTAAAGCAGCAGCATCAATAGGAGTTTCCTGTAAATCACTCCTGGGTACCAGTAGGTGATCAGTCAGCACAACACAACTGTCCTCATGCTGTGAAGGGGGTGACAGGTGCAGGGTTATGGTGATCACACCAAGTTAAAGTGACATCAGGTGCAGAGAGCACGACACTTCCTAAGAAGCCAAACAACTGTCAGAGTCGTGTTGAGTGCCATGAGGGGACAGTAAAGAGTCAGCGGAATGAGGAGCATAAGTAGGTAACTAACTTATGCTCCATAACTATCACTTGTGTCTGTTTATGTCACTTAGAGGTAGCAGACACCCCCCATCCCCCACCCCCACCCCCACCCCACAGGGAGATGGAAAGAGTCTAGCAGGAGAGCCCAGGGCAGAGTTCTGGGTTCCCCAGGTTCACGAGGCCCACTCAGTTTCCACTCCCGTGGGTGTCTAACAGAGCAACCAATCCGCCTCACTGGATTCATAATCAAGTCATCAGCACAAGGGTTCTCTGTCTCCCAGACCCACATGATATGGGTCATGATGCCCAGACCCCTGCTCCTGCTGCTCTTGGGGACCCTGGTCCTGACCCAGACAAGGGCCGGTGAGTGCGGGGTCGGGAGGGAATGGGCGGGTTGTGGGGCAGGAGTGTGGCACTCAGAGGGGACACAGGACCCCTGACCCAGGCTCCACAGCTCGCACTTATGCCACAGCCCTGTCCCCCTGCCCCTCCTTTCAACCGCCACCCCGCTTTTGTTCCACCCCCCACCCCCGGGCCCCTGCCCCTGCCGGCCCCACCGGGGACTCAGGACAAACGTCCCACCCGCCCCCAGGCCCCCACAGCCTGAGCTACTACCACACCGCCCTGTACGGACCTGGCCGTGGAGAGTCCCGGTACACCGTCGTCATCTACGTGGACGACGCGGAGATCCTGCGGTTCCACAGCGACGCCGCCAGTTCCAGGCTGGAGCCGCGGGTGCCCTGGATGGAGGCGCCGTGGGTTCAGCAGGAGGGCGCACGGTTTTGGGAGGAACAGACGCGGGAAATGCGGCACAACGAACAGCGGAGCAGAGCGAACCTGAACCAGCTGCGCGCCCACTACAACCAGAGCCAGGACGGTGAGCAGTCACGCCCGGGTCCTGGTACAGCCCCGTCCCCACAGACGGGCCGGGGTCACCCGAAGTCTGAAGGTCTGAGCATCACCCCGACAATCTGGGACCCGCAGGTGTCCCAACCCCGAACACCACGTGGGGATTTTCAGTCGGTATCACTGTCAGTTTAGGATTCCTCCACGTGGCTCTGGGTCGCGCAGGACTTTCCTAAACGCCTGTTTCACTCGCCGTGCTAACCCCGGGGCGGGGTCAGTGTCGCCCACTTGGCAGGAAATCACCGGCTGCGTCGTGGAGTCGGACAGACGCTTCCTCCGCGGGTTCAGTCAGTTCGCCTACGATGGTGCCGACTTCCTCGCCCTGAACCGGGACCTACGATCCTGGACCGCGGCCCCGGGGGTCAACTGGAGCGACGTTGTGCGGGTCCCTGACGCGGACGTTCGGAGGTTCTTCCTGGAGGACACGTGTGTGCGCCGCCTCCAGCTGCTCCTGGAGAAGGGGAAGGAAGAGCTGCAAAGAGCAGGTACCAGGGCGCGGGCTTCCCCGAAGAGGGGATCTGTGGGCTGGGGCGGCTTCCTACAGGGAGAGGAGGGAAATGGGGCAGCGTCAGGAAGTCCCTCCTGCTCCGGAGAGGAAACAGCGCCCCACATTTGCTCATTCTGTGACTCACACACGTGCCCAGCTTTCTCTAAATGACAGTAAGGGACCCAATCTCTCCCTGAAACACCCACAGCCGGTCCCTCACACCCTGCAGCACTTGGGGCACCAGGACGCTCTCCCTGGTTCTGGGGCTGAGACCTTCTCTGGAGGCCTGACTCCGGGTTTGCTGAGTCATCAGCCTCCACCTGAACCTGTGTCTCCTCTTAGAGACCTGGACACTCCTACCCAGGTTCTCACCCTGATTCTGGTTCCTTTTCTTTAAGATTAAAAAAAAATTTATTTATCTTTAGAGTGGAAGGGAAGAAGAGAGGGAGAGAAACATCAATGTATGGTTGCCTTTCCTGCATCCCCTGCTGGGAACTGGCCTGCCGGGAACCGGCCTGCAACCCAGGCATGTGCCCTGACTGGGAATCGAACCGCGATTATCTGGTTCGCAGGCCCGTGCTCAATCCACTGAGCTACACCAGCCAGGGCCTTACCCTGATTCTGGAACTTTCCTGGAAATAGGAGATTGTCCCAGGTGCATCTGTCCAGGCTGGTGTCTGGGTGCTGCACTCCCTTCCCC